CACACAGACAGCCTCTTCCCAATATGCGTTTTTGCAATTTGCATATATGCAAAAACGCATAATGACCTAGCTGTTCAATGAGTGATTTTTCCACCAAAAGTTTAATGCTCGTACACGAGAGCCACGCATGCCTGGAGGGCTAAATATGAAATCTCTAAACTTTATTTGAATAAGGAATATTTTCCTAAAACTTCAGCTTTCCACTTCTGTGATCCCCGTATTAACATTTTCTTGCCAAAATTATTTCGTGCTCATACTTGGGTCCCGGCGTATCTGAGAGCTGAATCTGAAATCTTTAAATGAACTCGGATAGGGATCATACCCTTAAAATTTCAGCTTTCCGGCCTTTTTGGTCACCGAGTTAGCAATTTTCCTGACAAATCTTTCACGTATTCCTTATTGGTTAACCATAAACACATAAAGGATGAATTTGAAATCTTTAGCTTATGCATGCATAGAGGATATCCGTGCAGTTTCAGCTTTCTATCTTGTCTGGTTCCCGAGATCGCTCGCCCGTCAAAAAATTTGCATATTTTTTAAGGTGTCCGCACGTGGGGTTCAGGAGTACACTGGTAATGATATTAAATTGGAAGAGTCGCGCATGGTCTGAGCGCATACTCTCGAAGTTTCAGCCTTCTAGCATTTCTGGTTCTCGAGTTGAAAGCAGGTGACAAAAAGTATGAGCACACAGACACACACAAACAGTCTCTTGCCAATATGCGCTTTGCAATTGCATGTAAGCAAAAACACATAGAAAGCGATTTTTTTTGCAAGGCACTGATGAGCTCGTACGTGTTGCTTGCCCCTTCGTTGCAGTCTCTTGATTCGACAGTACGCCACGGTGCAATAGAACGAGCTTTAAGTGAGCAAGAAAAACAAACATGGATTGAACAATCAGTTTTTCTCAGCAGGCATTTATTCGCATCGCCAAGTTTTGCTTCCAATTCAACGACGATTCGTAAACTGCCATTCGATATCTGATAGGTGGCATAACTCGGCACCCGGACTGCTTCGTTGTTGATCAGCACCTGACCAGTCATTCCTGGAACGCCAACAATCTTGCATGCACACAGCTAGTCATATTTTCAGCTACATATTTGACAATACCAATCAATAGTTTCGTCGGAAAGAGGAAAAGTAAGGGGTGTACAGTATCCACATGTTTTAAGGGAAGCGAAATAACCGGAATGCACCCAAACGTCGGGAACAGATATGGAAGTTTTGCACACCTCAGGCTGTAGCCATTTCAATTTGAATCCTTCTTCAGCAACTGCTCAAGTTGTTGTTTACTTTCTCATGGATAGTATTTAAATTGATAACATCCATCAGCTGTCAATGTGGAAAAAAAAGATGTTTTGCCCAGTTAATTTTGCTTTCTCGAATGGTCGCAGTAAGATTCTGTATGCCTCTCATTCGAAAGAAGCCAAAATATTCACCTCCCCTCCCCCCATTTTCTTCCCCTCTCAACATTTCCCCCCCCCCCCTTCCCCTATCTACCGCTCTCCCTATTCGTTCTCTATGAAAGGCGAAGGCACCGCATTAGTATGGGTAGCAGCAAGTGCCAGTAACAAGTATTTGCTAGCACAACCGTCAATGACTTCCATTTGTCTCGAAAGCTTTTTTCGCTACTGTTCTAGTGAGGGTCGAAAGGTTAGACCCTCTGTGCTTCCTTCGTCCACCTCCCGCCCAAATAGAACTAGGTTACTCTGACCTAGCTCTGGGGGGATGGACGGAGGAAAGGAGGGACTGGATTCTAGTGTTGGTTGTTGTTTGGGCGGAAGAGGGTGGACTGAGCGTTTTGGTGGGTTGTTTTTTGGGAAGAAAAATTTGGATGGAACGGTTTGGTGGGTTGTTGTTCTGGAATGTGGACCGATCTTGAATTGTTGTTTTGAAAAAGAAAGTAGATTAATCTTGGTGTTGCGATTGCTGTTTTTGAAGAGGAGAATAAAGGTTTGATTCTCTTAAAAAAAAAAAAAAGAGCCGCGTGGCAAAGAAGAACGCGGCGTTTCTGACGGGAAAGAAGGAATTCTAAACCACCGAGAGTGAAGAAGTAAAATTTTAATTTTTATTGTATTCCTTTTTTCTCGTCACCATTATCGAGTATCGTTTAAGGCTGACGACCAGTTTTGAATTCCTAACACGAGTCAGCATCATTTTACCATCACTATGAAGAGAAAAACACCCACAGTCTTCCTCGTGACAGCTACAGTACCCTCCACTGTGTCACACCCACTAAGGTAGAGATAAGATACTACTTTAACTCCAATCTAATATCAAACCTCAGTGCTCATTATGTTTTATAATGTGTAACGTATTTTATAGTGTAACTTGTTTTATAATGTAACTTGGGATCCTAATTTGAACCGACTTTGTAAACAAGTAATTAGTTTGCGACTGCAGTATTTTAGTCGCATTATAAGCTAAACTGCTTAAAATCAGCCTTTAAACTTTAAATTAGCCTTAAAGCTTTAAGCTTTCGAGCCTGTTGCATCTTCTTATACTGATTGGTATTATAACACTAGACTGAAGCAAGCCATGAGCTCAGGATTTCAGTTCTTTACATGCACAGAATCAATTAAAATACCATTATGAGATACTCCCCCTGTATTTGTCTGCTTATTCATCAAATGTTATCCGCAACAACACGTTGAACATGTGAGCCCTGGCAAGCACTTTCTATTTATTATTCTGTTTAGTCTTTTTCAAAATCTGAAACTAAATAAGACGAAAAATATAAGCCTGATCAAGCACTGCTACCTAGGAACTGGCGACCGGTCATTTTCTTCCAAATGAACGTTCCATTTCTGTAAATCTGGTCATTACCAGTGGAATCGTATGCATCACGTAATGCAAGTCCATACAGCAATAGAGCATCATAGAGCGACATGTACACAAGTAGCGAGTACTGTAATTCAGTTATATGCATTATAAGGTTTTGCTTAAATCATGAAGACAACGTCAGAAAAATCTTTGTAACTCCAGCAGAAAGCACGCCGTTTGGGCCCTTTGCTGTTAAAGGAGTCAGCAAACTGAGGTATTATAATACCTCAGTGAACTGTTGAAATAATGGTAAGTCAGCGCATTGATGTTTTGATTACCTGGAGTTTTATCGCCGCGTTTCTTCCCTCTAATACAGCTGGTAGTCCTCTCATTATCCTTCTTATGCGCTTTTGCATGTGTGCAAAGACAATTCTAGGCTGGAGCGCACTGGATTACTGGTGCGTTTCTGCATTAAACTCGAAGCTGTCGGTCGCCAACTACATAAATGGTTTTGATGCGTTTTTGCGTGTATGCAAATGTAACCCAGGCTGGAACGCACCGGGCGGGCCCATGCGATCATGCGTTTTTTCAGCGGACTTTAAGTACTCAGGTCATTAGCTGCATGAATGGTTGTTGCTTTACACCTACCTTTCGTGGCCACTAGCATAAATCACCATAAATTTTGCATAAATCAAATGTACAATTTCCATTCGAAGGTCGTTCACTGTTCAATGAGAAATTTTTCCGTCAAGACTTTTAATTGCCCATACGTAAGAACCACGCATATCTCAAGGCTGAATTTGAAATACATAAGTTGTACTTGGACAGGAAAATTCCCCTAAAATTTCAGCTTTCTAGCTTTCTGGTTCCCAAGTTAGTAATTTTCCCGCAGAAAATTTTTTCATACGCCCTTATGTTAGTACCATGCATAGCTTAGGGCTGAACATGAAATATTTGATTTGTATTTGAACAGGGAACAATCCTCCAAACTTTCAGCCTCCCAGCTTTTCTGGTTATTGAGTTAGCAATTTTCCCGGCAAGACTTTCACATGCCTGTACATGGGTACTTCATGCGCCTGGAAAGCTGAATTTGAATTTTTAAAATTGCACGTGGACAGGAGTCCGCCTAAAATTTCGGCCTTCCAGTTCTTCGAGTTGCCGTGTTAGTAATTTTCCTGCAGAAACTTTCATACGCTCTTACTTGAGTACCACGCATAGCTTAGGGCTGAATTTGAAATCTTCTAGCACATGCACAGGGAATATCCTCCGAAGTTCCAGCCCGTTAGCTTGCGTGGTCCCCGAGATCATTTTCCCGCCAAAAAATTGCATATTTTTTTAAAGCATCCGTACGCGGCACCCAGGCGTCCAAAGGGGATGAAATTAAAACGTGAGGGTCGCGCATGGTATGGGCACACATTCCCAAAGTTTTAGCCTTCTAGCTTTTTTGGTTCTCGAGTTGAAAGTAGCGCTGCTATAGCCAGCAAAAACGCATATTGTCAGTAGGCTGTGTGTGTGTGTGTGTGTGTGTGTGTGTGTGTGTG